GGGAGGGAGCTGCATGGGTCCCGGTGTCTCCATCCAGGGCCCAGAGCCGCTTCCGGACACTCAGGTAAGAGGGAGGCAGCGTATACAGCAGGGCATGGCTTTGGGTCCCACAGATCTGGGGCCGACTCTGTGAAACCTCACGTTCCCTTTCCCTTGATGATAATAAAAATGACCTTGCGCTCTGTCAGCGGAAGCAAAGTGAAAGAAGAGGGCCGGGCCAGAGCACCACCTCCCAAGCCCATCCCCCTCAGTCCAGCCGCACACCTCCCAGCGATCCAAGGCTGCACCACTGCACCATCCCAGGGGGTCCTCCCAAGGAGCTGGTCACAGCTCTCCCAGTGGGAAGCCTTTGCCCACCCCTCCTGCAGCCAGCCAGCTGCCCAGACAGAAAGGTTGAAGAACATAACTGGACTCAGCGGGGCTCTCCTGGGGCCCAAGCAGAAGCCCCTGAAGCCGGGGGGCTGGGGAGAGGAGGTGGGCCTGGCGCTGGGGCCACTCCAGAGGAGCACCAGCAGTGGCATGCTCTGGAGCAGTGGCTTCGTCACGGGGTGCCGGACTGGGAGTCCCCTGCCCGGCACAGGGCCTGGCCCAGCAGCCCCGCACCGTGGCTGGCTGGGGCAAATGCCGGCAGAAGGCGGCCGGCACGGGTGCCTGGGCTTGGGGTCCAAGGCAGGCGTGATGCCGGCGCTGGATGCCATCTCCACAGGAGACAGAGCACTGCCAGGAAAGAGGAGACTGAGCTGAGGCTGACCTTGCCAGAGGGCGGCGGGGGCAGCGGTGACCACTGCCCACGCACGATGGATCTAATCTTTGCACAGCCCAGGAGGGGAGCCCGTGTCTCCATTCCACAGATGAGGAGACCAAGGCTCATCAGCCGGCACCCACCCTACCGGCCTGCCCTGCACCGCCCTCCTCCAAGCACCTGTCTCTACCCGACCCAGATGCCCAGAGCCCTCTGATCGATGCCGGTGGCGGCAGTCTGCTTTGCCTCTTCTCCCCTCCACACCATGAGTGAGCGGGAGACCTAACCCTATTTACCTTTGTCTTTCTAGGACCTTGCAAGGTACTGGGCACGGGACGGCCCCAGAAAGGCAAAGGTGTGGGACAGAGCTACCTTCCCCTTTATCTCCTGGTGTCTCCAGACCTCGGTCCAGACCTGCCCCTCAGGTCTCGGGGCCCTGCTGTGTCTTCCATCTCTAGGTGCCCCAACCACCTCCTCCCACCCCACTCTCCCCCTCCTTTCAGGGGATCACAATGAATCAAAGCCCCAAGGGTCCCTGTGGGGGAGGACCCTCAGCGGACCCACTCTCCAGCCGCAGCCCCAGCCCCAGCACTTACCTGCGTCCAGGTGCTGACATGCCACCGGTAGGTGCAGTCGGCGATGATGCAGGGGATGCTGGTCTGAGGCCGGACCAGAGCCGCACAGGCTGCCCCATCCACCTCCACGTCCTGGCCTTGGCTGAGCTGCGCACAGGCCACGGAGCGTGTGGCCGTGCCAAGGCCACAGCTGGCTGAGCATGGGCCAAGGGACATGATTTTCCACCTGCAAGAAGCAAAGGCCCAGAGTGCGGCCCTGAGCCCAGAGAGGGCAAGCCCTTCCCGTCAACAGCTTACCGTTCCTCTGTTATCCAAGGAACAGGGATGGGGGAGAAGGTGCCCCAGGAGAAGGCAAAACAAATCTCAACAGTGGTCAACCCTGCCCGTGGTAATCTGTAATTGTTCGACAAATGACAACAGCCGACATTCTCCAGAGCTGGGACTGAACCTAGGGAGCCCGTGCTGGAGCCTGAGGCCCTCATCGTGACATTGTGCCACCTCCTGGCTCACACACACATGCCTTCAGTGGGCCTGGCGCTGTTCTAGGTGCTAGGGAGATGTAGTGAACCAGACCAAGACCCCCACACCACCCTTCAGAGCACATGTGCTTCTCCACCTTGCCACACCTGACCTTTGGGGCCAGCGGGTCTGCTGTGGGGGCATCTGTGCAATGTAGGACATTCAGCAGCCCTCCTGGCCTCCACCCACTCACCGGTGCCACTAGCATCCCCCTTCCCTAGTCATGACATTGAAAATGTCTCCAGACATTGCCACACGTCCCGTGGGAGGCAGAACGGCCCCTGGTGGAAAAACCACTTGGCTTGAAGGAAGAGACAGACAGCAAACCGAGGAAGAAGTGCTGGGTGGTAGAGGAAGGCAGAGCTAAGAGTCATGGGGTGGGCAGAGTGTGCCGTTCGGGAGCAGTGCTCAGGGAGGACTCCCCACCTCGCTGCTGCGGTGCTCTGAGCAGAGCCTGGACAAAAGCATATCCAGAGCAGACGCATTCCCGCAGGGGGAAGGCAGGGGCAGAAGCCCTGAGGCAGGAGTGCGTTCCAGAACATCAAGGAGGATGCAGCTACGTGACATCCGCGGAGCAGCCCGAGCCCATGCGTGTGTCACATTGCCATATAAGTCCCAGATAAATTCCCGTATGAATGAATGTGCTGCACAGCCAAGGGGCTTTAGCACAAGCAAAGAAGCCAAGGGACACCCGTGCGGGTGGTAAATGGACCATAAAGCTACAGTATTTAAAACAATCTGGTATGCAGGGGATTACAAACACCAGAACCTGTAGAAAGCCCTGACACAGATCCCAACATACACAAGCATCTAGGACACAATAAAGGAGCCGGCTGGGGGAAATTCGGTTAACGATTTGGAGAAATAAAGTATGCTCCCTACTTTGCAACATGCCCCCAAATAAATCACCGATGAGCTAAGGCTTTTAACTTAAAGGAATTCTTATCTGTAACGGTGTATTTCTTTAAAAGCCAAGGAGACCGACCTGAAGGAAAGATAGCAATATAGCCCATCTATTAAATCTGGTGGTAACACGTGACTGCTCCCTTCCTCTCTGGATGATACAGAAAAGCGCTTCATTAGTCGAAGTGCAAAACGACAAAGCAGCAAGGGTGGGAGCACTGTGAATCAGGCGGGCAATTGTCTGCTCTCCTCCCGCAGGCTCCGACCCCGCCTCTGGACCTCGCTGGCTTGAGCTCTTCGGCCCCGTATCCCAGCTGGGACCACCGTCGGGCTCCACTTAAATGTTGCCTTCTCCCAGTGACGCTCGCCAGCCCTCCCACACCCACAGCCCGATGAGATCGGGCCACGCCGCCTGCATTTTGTTGGAATGTCTGCTCTGACTTCTGGTGCAGCCTGCCAGGTAGTCCCGCTTCCCGAGGACCTTCTCCCGGGCCAGAGCAGCCAGCCCTATAAGCCCCGCGGCGACTGGCCTGGTGTCTGCATGCTCCGGGCCCTCAGGCTGCTTCCTCGACACCTCGGGGCTGCTGACCTGGGCGGGCAGGGCTCTGGGCTGCAGGCCTCCCACTTCTCCGGGCCAGGCAGCCCCTGACACTGCATATCCGGCAGGACCTCCTTGTCCCTGTCCTCCGCGTGGGCCCGTGCACAATACAGCATCCTCTGCACAAACCCTCCTCCACAGCTCACTCTGCACTCCGCCAGCACGGACCGCCACCTGGGGCAAACCGGAGTGGGGAGGGACGACCGACCCAGGGGAGTGGGGCCTCTGCTCATTTCTCCAGACTGGGAAGGTCACCCTTACATCTCCACCGAGAAGCTGGGCACAGCAGACAGAGAACATTCCAAGGAGCCCATTTTACAGACAGAAAGCTGAGGGCAAACTGATGTGTTCAAAGGGCAGGGGGGGAGAGGCAGGGCACCCCAGGGGGCCTGCGAAGATGTCTGTCTCTAATAGGAATGCCGGCCCCCCACCAGGCCTGGTCAGCACTCCCAAACTTCCTTCCCGCTGTGTTTGCCACATCACACCAATACCACCGTCAAATGATATCTCCCCGTCTGTCTTTCATTTCCATTTCCCCACTGCCCCAGCATCTTCTCCAGGAGGGCCGGGTGCCTCTCTGTCCTGCTCACTGCTATGTCCCTACTGTTGGAACGGCCCCTGGGCACGGCAGGGTCTCAGCGAAGAGCCACTGATGACAAATGAACCATCAGCCACGTACGTGTGCCCATAGCATCCCAGATCCCCTGTGACGCAACTCACATGCTTTAAACCCACCACAGCCTTCTAGGACACCCATGGGACCCACACCTGCAGGTAAGGGCACCGAGCGTCAGGAGCTTACAGGGAGGTGTTGAGGCCACCTCCAAGGATGCATGCCTAGGACCACCTGTCTCCTTGGGGAGGGGCTCACCTGGCAGGGCAGGGCTCCGGACTGCAGTCCTGGACAGGGCGGGGCCTGGGCACCCGCCAGCACTCGGAGTGAGGCAGGGGGACAGGGTGGCCGTGGTCCAGCCTCACGCAGCGAACAGCTAGTGGCACCCGCCCCCCTCCGCAGGTCACTGGGCATGGTGCCAAGGCTCGGGTCTCCCACCTGCAGTAAGAAGGCCAGCGCTCCATTGGAGGCTACACCCCAGGGTGAGACTCCTTCCTCCCTAGGGGACCCAGGCTGCTGCTGCCCCCCCACACACATAGTCTCCACCCCCACACACCAAGCCGGGCAAGGGGCAGCCTGGCAGGCCTCCCGCCGGCTCCCAGGCTTGCTCTCCAAGTCACATAGCTCTTCCTGGACAGGGGTCCCCAGGGTAGAGTCCACACACACGAAGCGCAGCTCCATCAGGCCTGCAGGGATGAAGCAGAGACCCCTGAGCCCCAAGAGGAGTTTCCGACAAGAACTACAGGTGCCCAGCTCTCTGGAGAGCTCCAGCAGATAAGGTCCACCTGGGTTCGAGTCTTGACTCTGCCACTTACCAGCTGTGTGACCTTGGACAAGTGACTTAAGCTCTCTGAGCCTCAGATTTTTCAACTGATGGTGCCTCACTTGCAGGGATATTTATATAGATTTTTAAAGCGCAGCTACAAAGTGCCTGGCCCATAGTAGGTACTCAAGTGGTAGCTGCTGTTTTTTGTTAATGAGAATTGCTCTTCGACAATCTCTTACTGTGTTTATAACCAAGATGTTATCAGGGTCCGTTTCCTTGAATCTCTCCTTTTGGACTATTCTCAAAAAAAAAAAAAAAAAAAAAAAAGTCTCTGGCCTTGATTCTAAACATGCACAGGTTTCACTGAGCAGGTGCTGAGGGTTGTAGTTTAAGGACACAATGTATCTTAAAATGTTGCTCCTCTGGCTGGGCCGCCAGGAAGCCCAGTGCTCTTGGGGCCCACTTTTCTAGACCGAAAGAAATACACTTGGGTGCCAATATTGCTGAGTTTTATCGTCTTTCCTGTCTTTCAGCCAAGCAATAAAGACATTTACATGGCTGTCCATACTTCACCCCAACCTCCTTGTATTGACGTCATGTTCTGACCTGGTCTGGATTCTCCGTAAGCCAATTCAAATGCTTTTTAGCACTAGGCAAAATGTAGGCAGGTAAGAGTTAGCCAATGAGCTCTGGGGGCCTCACCTCGACCACAGGAGGCAGAGCACGGCCCCGCCAGGGGAGTCCACATGTGTGCGGCATGAGCCCCCAGCCTGGCACTGCCTGGTGCAGATGTGGCCTCCTCCTCCTCCAGAGACTGGGGTTCTGGCTGCAGGGGACAAGTAACAAGCTGGTGGGTCTGGGCTTCCCCCTCTCTGGATCCCTGAACACCTGGTCCTGCAGCCCCGCCCACCCAATCTCTTCAGGAGAGAGCAGAGTGGTCACCAGCACCTCAAAGGCGGTCCCTCCCTGCTGCTCCTTTCCGGGGACACTTGCTTCTGCTGCCGAAGGATGCCCCCACCCCACTACCCACCTTGGCCTCTGTACCAGCGTGAGTGGTCACTGTGGGGCAGGGCTGAGGCTGGGGCTCGGGAGCCAGGTTGGCAGGCATACTTGGCCCTGCAATCCCCACTGGTCTCGAGGACACAGGCTTGGCCAGTACCCTTGTTTGTAAGCAACGTCCCCCAGGCCAGAGCCCTGGGAAGCAGGTGGGAGAGTGACCGTGTTGCTTTGTGGGCAACTGGCAGCAGTCTAACGGGGCCTGGGGCCTGGGCCCGGCTTGCCAGCTGGAGGGCAGAGGGGCCCTGAGTTTTTTCCCTAGGCTCACCCTCTGACCAGGGAGATCCTATACACAGCAGCATTGCAGAAGGATAGTCCTTGTGCTCTGGCCAGGAGACCAAGGGTACCCAGTGCTCCCCATTCTCCTGTCAGATAAGCCCCCAATTAGCCCAGGACACTCACATGGCCCGGTACCGAAGGACATGCCATGGCCACACAGTGCTCAAGGGCAGGCAGCTTCTCGTCTGAGGAGCAGGGCCCAGCAGTGGTCAGTGCCTCCAGGCCCTCTGCCCCGCGCACACACGTCCTATTCTGTGAAGCCGGGTCTGTTCCACAGGCTGATGAGCACACGTCTGATCCCTCCTGCCTGAGGACAGGACAGACAGCAGGCCCTGCCTCATGGGGCTGTACGTACAGCCCAGCTCCCTGGGTGGGGAGGCAGTGAACCCGCACCCCCATACCCAAGAGCTCCAAAAGGAGCCCCACAAAGAAGCAAAACCCTGAGGCCTCTCCCTAAAGAGCTGGATGAGCAGCTGCCAGCAATCCACTCGGCAGCCCGGGTGCCAGGACACAGGCCCGGACCCGCCGGCCTTCCAGAGAGGAAGGTGGGCTTCTGTCCAGAAAGTACCATCACTCCTTGCACCCTAGCAGGTGCCGAGAAACAGAATCGGGTCAGCCCGGTCAGGGATGGCAACTGCGTTTCACGGACGTGCCAACCCTGACCGGGGCGGCTGCCGGCCGAGCGGAGGCAGGAAGGGTCTCGAGGCAGGAGCAGGCCTCCGTGGGAAAGGGTGGTCATTCCCAGGTCGGCCACACACAGGAGACAGGCAAAGGAGCCCGAGCCACGCATGCGCCACCAGTGACCCTGGCCAAGCACCTCCTCACTGGACACATAACAAAACTGGGGCCCAGAGAGGGAAGGAAATTGACCTGGTCACCCAGCCAGTTGGTGGCAAATGGGAAGAAGACGCTGTCAGCTTGGACACTGAAGGGATGAGAGGCACCATGGAGACAGCAGTGGTAATGACAAAGGGACACTTATGGCTTTATGTGTGCAGCTTCATTTGGTCCTCACAGCCCGTGAGCAGGGACTTGGGGTTTCAGAGAGGGAAATGGCCGGCTCAGGGTCTCTTGGATAGTAATTGTGAAGCTGTCTACTCCAGGATAGTAGGGCCCAGCCAGAATCCTTGGGAGAGGGGACACTCAGAAAGGGTAGGGCTCAGTGCGGGGACAAGCCCTGCCAGGGAGCTGCCTCCCCGCCTCCCAGCCTCCCTGCCCTCACCTCCCCGGGCGGGGCTGGGAGTGCAGGCTTCCACCACCGCCGGCTGTGGGGGCCAGCACTCTGCACCGGGTGGGGGGCAACGTCTTCAGGAGGCTGCCCTGGGCCTCCACGCAACGCACCACCTCCTCCCGCAGGAGGCCCTGCACACACCAAAGTCTCTAGCTGCCCAGCTGAGGAGGAGACGCACAGAGCGTTGGGGCCCCGTCCGCCTGAGGACTGGCTCAGGAGAGGCGGTGAGAGACGGGCAGATCCGTCCCGCTGACTGGCTTCCCTGCTCTGGGCCGGGCCCCATATCCCTGCAGGTTCCTGGACACTGCACAGGGACAGCCTGCTCCGCCCAGTGGCCCTCCAGGTGTCCCCAAGCTGCACCAGAGCCCAAGGACACCTGTATAAAAATGGCAACTGGGGGGCTCGGTCTCTTGATCCCAGCTCAGGTTTTGATCTCAGGGTCACGAGTCCAAGCCCAGTGTGGAGCCCACAATCAATCAATCACTCATTCAATTTAAAGAAGTGGTGGCGGGTAGCCGCACCAGCCCTGCAGCCAACAGGGACAGCCTTGTCCCGATGTTGTGCTCCTGCCAACAGCACAGTCCAGGTACTTCCCACCGTCACCTCTCTGACCCTCACCACAGCCCTCCCGGGGAGGGCGGTCACTTCCACCCGGCAGTGAGCTCAGAGCGGGCATGTGCTGCCTGCAGACGAGGTGCAGCGGGTGCGGGTCACACTAGGCTCCAGCGTCACCCGTGTTTGCCCGAGATTCAACATCCTCACCTGCAAAAATGGGGGGCACTGACATAACCCACCTCCCAGGGCAGTGTCCGCGCCTGGAAGTGGCCTCACCGAGCGCATGGCACGTGGGCCCCATAGCCAGTGAGAGCCCAGGGGCAGTGGCTGAGCGTGGGCAGCACTCACTGTGGGGGGCAGGGCCAGGGGGCGCAGGACTCTGGCCACGCTGCCGGCTGCTGGCTCCCTTCACACCGGGCGGCCTCCACCCACTCATTCCTGGCCTGGTCCAGACAGCTGTAGGTCACCCAGCGCAGCCCTGGGGGGGAAGAAGGAGGCTGGGCCACCTCCCTGCAGGGGGCAAACTGTGCTTCAGGTGAGCCCTGCCCCAGGCCTCACCTGCCCCACAGCTCACCGAGCAGGACCCGCGCACGGCGGCCCATGCCCGGGCCTGTGGCTGCTGAGGCTGGAAGTAGGTGAAGGTGATGTCTGGGCGCACGAGGTCACCATACTCTTCCCCGTAGCGCCTGTAAACCTGCAGGAGACAGACAGAGAGCTCTCGGGGCCTTGTCCACTGGCCTCCCTGTGGGAGCTCGGCCAGTCCCTGGGCTCTGTGCCCAAGGCCAGCCCCAGAGCGGGGCCAGGCTGGAGGGCAGAGCCCCGGAGGCCCCCAAGTTTCCTGCCCCTGCTCCCCCAAGGCCTCATCTGGCCACACGGCACCATCCTCTGTTTGTTAAAATGAGGATTCTTGAGCCCCACCTGGCAAGTCCTGATTCAGAGGCTCTCAGGGGGGGCCCGGGAATCTGTATTTTTATACACACCACAAAGGATACAGACATAGCCGCTTGGCTGTCTGGGAACAATGTTCCTGGGGGTGGGAAGGTGGGTGATCTGGGCTGCACGGGGAGTCAGGGGAAGGAGTGACACCAGGAGGAGGCCCCTGCTGGCTCCCCCAGGCCCTCCTGGTCACCTGGATCTCCACGTCGTCCTGGGTGGGTCCCAGGATGCGGATCTCCTCCAGCTGAGGCAGCCGGTCCTCGGTGAGAGCCACTCTGTACTCCACACGGCTGTCCTCCAGGAGGGAGGGGTAGGTGGTGCTGGGAGAGATGCTGGAATTCCCAGCCACGACGTAGTGCCCTCGGATCCGCACTGCTGTGGGGGGAGCAAGGCTGTGGGCAGGGGGAGCGCCACCTCCCCCACACCTGTGGCAGCTGGGCACCAGCCCTCTCACAGAAGAGGGCCTGACTTAAGGAGCGGGGTGGTAGCAACAACGGGACAAATCTCCACCGCCCCAGCTCTCCTTCCCAGGGAGCCCGTCTGCCTGCTGCCTTGGCTGGTCAGGCGGTCCCTGCAGTGAGCAGGGCACCACCCTCCCAGATGCCCACAGGCGTCTGACCACACGTCCTGTGGCTCTGCACCTCTGTCCAGAACCTGGTGAGCACGGTGGATCTGCCCTCTCACCACGTATGCCCCCACGGAGCTCTACAGGCAGGTTCCGGGACTCAAGGCCCCCAGGGCCAGCACCCCCACCCCAGATTCCAAGGGCACGTGTAGGCACCCTCGGGAAATCAAGAAACACTGTGGCATTGAGTGGGTAAAGAAGGTGGCTCTGCCCAAAGACAGATGTGGCCTTTGCCCTGGGCTTCTGAGAAGGGACTTATGTCACACTGGACAGGAGTATCTTTGTTTAAGGTGGGGACTGGCCAAGCCAGAAAGACCAATAATATGTGAGGTAGGACAGCAGCTTTGAGTTGATCTCATCCGTGAACCTAGAAACTAGAGGCCATCCACGTGAGTAATCAATCAATCATGGCTCATGCCCACATCACGAAGTCCTAATTAAACTGGATGCCGAACCCAGGTGAGCTTGGGGTTGGCAATACCCCGTACATACTGTTACACTTCGATGCTGGACATGGAACCCTTCCAGACTCTGCCCTAGGCATCTCCCGCTCTGGCTCCTTCTACTGTCTCCTTGCCCTGTAACGAGCCAGAACCGCGGGTACAAAAGCTCTCAGCGTTCTGGGGGTCTTCCTCATGACTTATCCAACCTGGCGGTGCTTAGGGAACCCCTGAACTTGCAGAAGGCATCAGAAGTGAGGGCATTTTAGGGTGTCTGGGGGGCTCAGTCAGTGAAGCGTCCGCCTTCGGCTCAGGTCGTGATCTCAGGGTTGTGGGATCGAGTCCCCCACATCAGGCTCCCTGCTCAGCGGGGAGCCTGCTTCTCCGTCTCCCTCTGCCTCTGCCCCCCACTCATGTACTCTAATAAATAAACAAAATCTTAAAAAAAAAAAAAAAAAAGTAGCGAGGGCATCTTGGAGACCGTGCTGTAGAGACTTCAGTTTGGCCACCTCAGGGGGAGCGTCCACTGGCCAGCTCACCCAGGTGTGTGAAGAGAGGCCTCCGATTGGTGATGTGTACGCCGGTCAGGTTGCGGGTCACGGTCAGGAACGTGACATACTCTAGAAGGAAGCAGGAGAGGGTGGGTGGTCTCAGGTCACTGACACTGCAGTGAAAGGGAGCAGATTTCAGTTGTCTGAGAAAAAGCACCTCGACGCCAAAAGCTAACAATGGGGCCGTCTCAGGCAGTACAGTCCCCTGTCACAGGGGACCAATCCAAGCCAGGCTGGACAGCCACCTTCCAGGGTGCTGCCCTGGCCAGGCAGAGGGACGGAATCCAAGGCTCCGGGCTCAGCACGTGGCCCACCACAGGGAGGGGGGGACTCCACTGCTTGGCTGACCCTCTAAGTGCCTACTTTGTGAATGGCTGGACCTCTTTTACAAATAGATCCAAGTCAAGGGCTTCCCAAGTACAGCATCCCTTCTGATAGGATTCCTCAGGGAGGGGAGGGGAGGAGAGGCCAGCCCACCACACACTGCCCACCGTCCAGGTTTTATCACAGCTATACCATGAGCTCACTGCCACGGCTCTGAGCTGCAGGTGTTTCGTGGAGGCTGGGAGGAGCCCAGCCATTTGTCCTGAGGGAGGCCCCTACCTCTGGCCCTGCCGCCCGTGAAAGAGCCGTTCCGCGGGCTGCATGTACTGTTGTTCCCTCCGCACACCTGACACACGTCTCGCACCTGCGGGGAGTCCATCCTGCCGTCACAGCCGAATGTCTGTGCAAAGAGCAGTGGCAAGTGACACCCAGGCAGGTGTCACTGGAGGATGCCGAGGCTCTGGGAGTCACACAACAAACAGGCGGCATCCGGCAGCATCCTACGCTGATGCAGGAAGCAGGTGTAAATGACTCGCCCGAGGTCACAACGGGGCTCTTAGCCCCCAGCCGACTCCAAGGTCAGCCCAGTGCCCTGGCATCATCCCATGCAGACTCTGCTGCAGCTCCATGCGGGCCCCCAGACCTGGCCCCTTGGAGCCCCTTAGCATCTGGCTTCTGATGTGACAGGCCCCAGGGCCACCGCGGATGGGAGGGCACCTCTGCTGCCCACACACGCCTACCCTGCAGCTGCCCAACACGCACAGGCTCAGGGTCCCGTCCTCCCGCCGACCATTTGGCACACACCGGGTCCCATCCAGGAAACTATCCCCACGCCTCACAATGAAGGTCTCGCCAATGGCCCGGCACATGTGTCTGCACAGAGCATCCCCTGGGGAGGCAGAGGGACAGGGAATCCTCGTGTGAGGGTGACAGGGAGTAGGGAAGGCAACGACCCCGCAAAGCACCACGCAGGTGGGCCCGCCCTGGCCAGGCCATCTGGCTTCCTCCTTTGGGTTGAGGGCATGGGTCGGGCCTCCTGAGGCAGTGATCACAATCACAATGCAGCGACTGTTACTGAGTTACCAGCCAAGGAGCGCCCTCGGTGCGGCCCCAGTTTCACGTCACTGAATCCTATCACCCGAGCAGGGAAGCCCTGCGCTCATCTCCATTTTACAGATAGGAAAGCCGAGACCCAGGCCTGTTAGCAAGGGGTCGCACCAGGACGTGATGCGACTGACGCAGAGCCTGAGCCAGAGCCCTGCTCTCAACGGCATCGGAGTGACGGGGGGCCAGCCCCACCTTGACGGTACTGCTCCGCGGAGCCCCAGTGGTAGAAGGAGGCGTTGCCCGGGGAGAGGTGTAGCGGTTTCCTGTCCGTCTGGGAGCACTGCTCAGACATGAACTCCAGCTGGGTCTTCTCACAGGCCTGGTCAGGAGGAGACAGAGGACGGGCACAGGAGTGGCCTTGGGAGGAAGGGCTTGGGGCAGGGGAACTAGGAGGAGGGCCTTTGCCACTGAGGACCACAAGGCACTCCGCAGCGCGAATGTGGGTTTAAGCCCAGCTCCTGGCTGCACCTCGGTTCCCTGCTCTGTAAAGTGGGGGAGACAAGAGCCTTTCTCACTGTTGACGGGAGAATCCAGGAGAATTTGCAGGGACACAGTGCAGGACCTACTGCCCGGCGACAAAGAGATCAAGAGCACCGCTCGCCTGCTCCCCTCCCCTGAGCCTGAGCTCCAGGTGAAGACTGTGCCCTCCGGGTGTGGGGAGGCTCCCTGCCTGCCTAGAGAAGGTGGGAGGGAAGGTCTCACCAGATGCCTCACTTAACTCAAGGTCAAAGGAACCATTCTAGCAGTTCCCACCCAGTATGACTGCCACGATCCAAACCACGGACAGCAAGGATGGAGCGGAGGGCGAGGGTGCGGAGAAACTGGAACCCTTGCACATTGCTGGTGGGAAAGGGAAATGGCTCAGCTGCTGTGCAGGGTGGCTCGGAGGTTCCTCAAAGAACTGGACGTAGAAATACGAGGTGACCCGGTGACTCCTCTCTTAGGTGTATACCCAAAAGAAATAAAAACTGGCACCGAAGTCCACGGACACACGTGTCCACAGCAGCATGATTCACAATAACCAAGAGGTGGAAACGGCCCAAACGTCCATCAGCAGATGAACAGATAATACGTGGTCCATCCGTACGATGGGATATTATTCAGCCATCAAAAGGAGTGAACTTCTCACACCTGCTACAACGTGGATGACCCTTGAGGATGTGATGCTGAGTAAAAGAAGCCAGTCATGAAAGCCCACCTACCGTGGGATTCCATTTCTATGAAACGTCCAGGACAGGTAAAGTACGCGGAGACAGAAAGCGACCGGTGGTTGCCAGGGGCTGGAGAATGGGGAAGGGAGGGACTGCTTCATGGCTCTGGGGTTCAACTTTGGGGTGATGGAAACGTTTTGGAACCTGATAGAGGTGCTGGTCGCACCACATTGTGAATGTACCAATGCCACTGGATCCCACACTTTAAAACGGCTGATTCGATATGCTGTGAATTTCACCTGTGCTTGGACTGAAAGGATGGTTTCAGGGGGAGCCGCCGGGGAGGGCAGTGGCACATGGGGACGGAGGTGCGACACCTGGAGCGCCCACTGTGGTCCCAGCAGAGGCAGAGCAGCACTCCCTCACTCTCAAAAGCGCCCTGGCGTGAACCACAAATTACAGCCGCCCTGGTCCTTTGGCTCTTCCAGGGCCTGGCGCTGCCCACCTGAGCCTCTCGTCCTGCCCTGGGGAAGCACGCCTACCTGGGTGTTGCACATCTCAGCCTGGAGGTCAGCGCCCACACACGCACGCCCTCCGAAGGCAGGCCTGAAAATGTCCATGAGACACGAGGGGTGACAGGTGACCCACTGCCCCCCCAGTCAGGAAATTTGGAGCAGGCCCCCCTCCCTGAGTTGAAGGACAGGGCCCCCTCCATGTGGTACCTGGGGTTGTTGCACTGCCGCCTCCGGGTGACCACACCTCCTCCGCAGGAGCGGGAGCAAGGGCTGGGGGGACCCCAGCTAGACCAGTGCCCGTGCACCACCCCCACAGGGCTCAGCTCCGCCAGGGAGCGGCAGTGACCCTTGGAACACCACTGCAAGAGAAGGACACACCATCCCACACCTGGCGCACCCCACACCCATGGGCACCCACACCCATGCAGGGGTGCACACTTGCAGGCACCCCCGCACTCCCATCCTGCTCGGGAAACAATGCTAAGCGGAAGAGGGCAAACCCCAGGCTGTAGGACAGAGGAAGGGTCTGGCCACACTGGGCAGAGGCCCTGAGGTCTGCAGGGTAGAGCAAGATGCTGCCTGGTACAGCCAATGCGAGGGAGTCTGGGTCAGGGAGCCGGGCTGCGCTCTCACTACCACTCAAAGCCTTTGTCTCCTCTGTGGGACAGGGGTGACAACACAAGCCTGTCTCTGACCCAGGGAAGGGGGCAAAGAAACTCCACAACGCTGAGGGGAGGGCAGGGCTCTGGATCCCCCACCCGCCTGCGCAGAGTCACTGGTGAGCCCCTTGTCAGTCTTCATTGGTCCCCAGAACCTAGAAAACCCATCCCATCTTCCAGGCCCTGCAGGGAGGCAGGGCAAGTCAGCTGGCACGCGTGAAGCATCTTGCCGCCCAGCTCCCCAGACCAGGTGGCCAAGAGCAGCTGCAGGGCCCTCTGCCCCAGCTAACCGATCCTCCAGTCCCCCACCCCAGGAATGCAGGCGGCCAGGTTTCGGTGCCCTGCATGGACGTGTGCAAGTGCACACAAGTGCACGCACACACACACGCACGCGCACGCACGCGCACACGCACGCACCCTCGCATCCCTTCATCCCCTGCTCTGACCTTCTGCACGCCGCACTCTGTGCCGTCCAGGAGAGGGGTGAGGAGACGGCTACAGTGGCTTTGGTCCAGGGGGTCCGTGTGGCAGGACAGAGCCTGGCACCTGTCCTAAGAGGGGAGACAGGTGGCCAGCTCGGGGCCACTACAGCCTGTTGGCTCAGCGTCCGGTCTTAATTGTCCCCCCACACCACAGGACACAGGGACACATACGCTGTTCCGTGGGCACTGGTGGCCAGGGAGAAAGGGCACGGCACACCTCTCCATGGGACAGGGACAGTGACCAGGGCCCAGAGTCATTTTAGGGGCCCACAGATATGTTTTCATTTCTTTTAAAATCAAAAGAAAAAAATGATCTTTTGGATCAAAGAAAACGTTCTAATATATAATATCAATGTATTTGTATTTACAACACTTACACAACATTTATAAAACCACTGATAATGAGTCTTAATATTTTGTATGGAGGAAGAGGCCCACTAAGGCCAAGGTGCCTGGGGCCCATGAAAGTCCCGTGCGGCCCAGGGAGGGAGCTTGTCTTTGGGGTGCCTGCCCCCTTCATCTCCCCTCCCCCTGCCAGCTCACACGCCTATAGGCTTCGGTTTGGAGTTCACTTCTCCTGGAAAGCCCTCCAGGTTCCCATTGGGTTGGAAGCCTTTGGTAACTGCCTATTTAAGTTGCACGTCCAGGGACGCAGAAGCCTGCCAGGGCCGGCTCTATAATAATTTGTGGGACACAGTCAAAATGGGGAACAAACATGGGGACTATTGTTAAAAAATTAAGAATTTTAAGAAGTGACTGACAGCCTAGCCCAGTGGAGCTCACAGCGCGGACCGCTGGGCGCAGGTGGAGGGAGCACAGGTTGGGGTGCGGACAAGCGGGCTGGCGGGACTCACGACGTGCTCCCTGGTGAAGGTGCAGGCCACAGCCGCAGCACCAAAGGCAATCCGGCACTGCTCGTCGGCGCCGTAGAGGAGGCCAGGCTGCGCCTGGGGAGGGCGCCCCGTGGCCCTGGCCTGCGGCTCTGGAAGGTCCCGCATGCAGTGCGCCCGTCCTGCGCTGCGACAAGGCCGCGGCTCAGGCTCGGGTGGACATGGGGTGGGGGCGGGATGGGGGAGGATGGGAGTCCTCAGCGTGTACCCGCACCGACAGCCGGCCTTGGGCTGGGACCAGGCTCAAGGCAGGAGCCAGCGCGGGGCGGAGGTAGGGCCGCAGCAGATGCCCGGCCGATGCAGCGGGGAGGAGGGGGATGCGGCAGACGGGAGTTGGATTGGGGAGCGGGTGGGATGGAGGGTCGAGGCAAAGGCGGGGTGGGGCAGAATTGAGGGGCGGTGCAGAAGCAGGTGCGATGGAAGAGCGGGTGCGCGGGAGGGAATGAGGGAGCTGGCACAGGGAAGCGTGGACGGAGGGAGGGATGCGCACACGGAGGGGTAGGTGGGAGGGTGGGTGCAGGAGCGTGGCGGAGGGTGGAGGAGTGCCCGGGAGAGGTGATGGGGGCCCATGGGGAAGGGGACGTGGGGAGGCGATGGGACTGAACAGAGGCCTGGGCGGGGCTGGGGCAGACGGAAGGGTGAGTCTGGGGGACAAGTAGGGGCACGCCGTGTGTGGAGATGGGGGCGTGGGGAGGGCTGGGCGGGGTGGCGGATGCAGCTACCTAAGCAGGTGCAGCAGTTGCCGGCGGCTGCAGGCGGACCAGGAGAGGTCGGTACCGGTGGGCGCTGCGTCCTGGGACGCCATCACGTGGCCGCTGGGCCCGCAGCCGCTGCCGGGTGCACCGTCGTGCTCCACGCCCAAGCTGTGCCGGGGGAGGCAACGCTGAGGGTCCCCTCGCGGACCCACCCCCTCCAACCCCCACTCCAGTCCAGGCCTGGCAGGAGTCTGGCAGTGGGCGGCGTGGTCTCACACCCCAGAGGCCTCCTGCCCCTGCCTCAGTTTCCCACCCGAGAGAGCACTGGATCAGCCAGGGGGCTCCTGCCTCTTCTGGCTGATAAATACGAAAAGGCTTTAAAAATGTTGAGACCAAACTAATCCCTGGCATTATAAGTCAGGGAGGATGGGGTCCCGAGGCACCTTGGGGGGTCGGGGCTGCCGGTGATTATTTGTTGGATCTGTGGGCTGGCTCAGGATGGGAAAATTCATCCACTGCTTGTATCATAAGGTTAATAAAAAAGTTGAGAAAATGTGCAGGCCTTTGGCCATGGTCTCCACTCCCAGTGGGTGCTTTTTAAAACCTTCTTTAAAACAAACAAAAAAAAAAACAACCTTTTTCCTCCAAACAAGACAGATGGAGGCATTGTGGGGGTGGGGTGGGGTGGGGGTTGGGGGGGTCAAGTGCAGGTGCAGGAACCAGGGTAAAGGTGGAGCTGTTGTGGGCTGATATGGGGGTGAGGAGCCCCAGGCTCGCTGGGCACCTGAGCCACCCACAGAGATAGGGGTGTGGGGGATTCCACAGCAGAACTCAAGGGGGCCTTAAGGCCTGGGGGCAGGTGGGGGCTGGGGGGAAGGAGCACAGACTCACTCTTTAGGTGTTTCTGTACTGTCTTTTTACAGCAAGTGATTATTACTTTCATAATGAAAAGACTAAAAATCATCAAGGAAGGAAGCTCGCCACTTCGGGTAAATGACAATAGACAGGAACAAAGATTTGCCTACAGAATGCAGAATGTTCATAACAGGAAAAATTTGGAAACAACCTAAAAAGCCAACAATGAGGGATTAAATAAAATATGGTGTATACCAAAAAAAATTATAAAATATCTGGGAAAAAAATGTTTAGGATGTATTGTTCCATTAAAAAACCAGGAACAAAACAATAGACAATATAATCCTGATCTTGTAAATAAAAAAATTATGTGTGTGGGTAAGAAATGACTAAAACATAAAATGTGAACAGATGTTATCCCTAAGTGGTAGGATCTGGGATAATTTTGACAGCCTGCTTTTTCTTTACCTGAATGTCCTAGAAAACTTATTTTCTAATTGCTAAGTTTGTCTTGCTTGTTTTTTGGGGAAGGGAAAAAATTTTTTTTAATCACCTGGTAATCAACAAGTATCAGATTTCCCAGCCCTTGTCCCTCCCCCACCCCCCAGGTCCACTGGGGCCAGGGGTATTAGGTTCCTTCAGCAGACTCTTCTGGGGCCCACCACCAGCCTCGATGTGACCTCTTGGGAGCCCCGGTCAGCTCCTGGGCCACAGCATGGGGACAGGATGCCTACCTGTGCCCAATCTCATGGGCGATGGTGACCCCCAGGTCAAAGCCAGTATCCTCAGTGATGAGGCAGCTCCAAGAGGACGAGCAAGCACCCCCCAGCTGTGTGACCCCCCGAACCTGCCGGTTACCATCAGGTAACTCCAGGTCAAACCTTGGGGAGAGAAAACAGACACCCAGGTGGTGCTGAGGTGCCTGCCCACAGCCAGACAGCCTTTGCAGAGATAGGGAGCAGCTCCCAGGTGGGCTGGCTTGCCCCTGGGGAGCACGGCTACCTAGTGATGTAGAGGACCAGGTCAGCATGCCCGGGCTCTGTGTCATCCTCGGGGTTGATGGTCCTGCTCCACTCACAGACACTCAGCAGTGACGCAGTGATGTTGGCTGTGATATTCGGAGCATCCTGGGGGATCAGTAACAGAGCCCGTGTTTATGGGAGCTGCACCCGACGGGGTGCTGACAGCTGCTGGCCTCTCGGTCCTCACCACAGCCCTGTTACCATGCATGCTACAGGTGGGGAGACCCACGGGAAGAAGTAAAGAGAACAGAAGTGGGTTTTCCAGTGACTCTGGGCTCCTGGCTCGGCGCCTACCTCGGGCTGGGTCAGGATGACCATCTTCACTAGATGTACTCGGAACTGAGCCCCCAGGGACGGATCCCTCAGCAGCTCTGACCCCTGTGGAAGGGCAGGAGAGAGAGGTGACTCATGGGGGCTGGCGTGGCCTGACTGGTGGGCTCGGGTCGGGAGAAGATGCTCCATCAGCACGGGGGGAAGATGCTAGTCCTTGGGCGGGGAGCCAGCCACAGGGATGGGCGGGTGTGCACTGGTCCTCCCCTTGCTCAGGGCTCAAGAAGGCCAACCAACACACACACACACACACACACACACACACACACACACACAACCCTGAAACAATGGGATGCAAATAGTTGTTATTAATCTAGAACGTTCCATCCCAACACTGCTCCCCTCTCACCAGATTCACCATCCTTTCTCTTTTCTGCCCATCCACCTGAGACACCGCTCTCTGCTTATTTAACCTGTGCGTCTCCATGAGGCGGCATGAGGGCCTCCCCTCCCTCCATAAGCCCCTTCCTGGGTACCCCAGAGAGAAGGCTCCCCCCACCCCCAGCCAGCCTTCTGGCTGTCTCTCAGCGCACGTGTCAAGATGCTGATCACGGTTGACTTATGTGGCTGTTGGCACCAGCTGGTCCTCTGAATTACACATGGTACCCGCGAGAGCACTCAGCTGTCACCGGCCTCAGCGGGCCTAAGCCTGAATCCAAGCTCCACTGCTTCCCTTCCCCAGCTGCTCGGGGTCCTGTTAACTGACCCTGGAAGCCCAGGTTCCTTATCTGTGAAATGGAGGGAAAGCCTTCTGTGGCTGTTAGCAGGCTCAGGAACAAAGCAGCTGGTACAGAGTGGGTGTCCCATCGTCTGGGCAGGAGCCAGGCTGGCATCTACCACCCTCCCGGGTCCTCAGAAGGCACATCAAACGAGCAGAGGGAGTCTGGCACCATTACTGAGTGTCAGCATATCAGAGGTGGGACCCCCAGTGCTTGAAAACAAGAGCTTTCAAGTGACTCAAAGGAAATGCTGTTGGCCTCCCAGGCTGCTGGCAGAAACCTTAGCAGGCTTACTGTGGGCTTGGGTCAGGTCTGCAAGGGGGCGGGACCACAGGGGTGTGGCCCCGGGACCCAGGGGCCCAGAAAACACAAGGGGACAGGGACGGGTCGGGAGGCCTGGGGCTCTGAGCCTGGGGGGGGACATTTCCTTTTGCCCAAAACAGGTGGCCATCCCTGAGGCTGGGCACAAAGTGGTGCTGATTACCGCACATTCTTGGGGGCAGCCCGCCCTCCAGAGCCAGCTTACAAGTGGGCGGCACTCTCCTTGCAGTGTTGGTTCTAATCTCCTGAAGCTGTGGAAGCTTCCGTGGCAGCCTAGAGCAGTGACTGTGTGTGTGTGGGGGGGGGTCCCACGTGCATTCTCTAGTTGCAGGCACGGGGTCTCATGGAGTCTGTTACGTTACGCGTGAGCATTCGGTTGTTGAGCACCTGTCTCTTTGCTGACTCTGTCTCTCTGCTAACACTCAGTGGGAGTCGTACTTCTCACCTCACCTTCACCCCTAAAGCCAAGCGAAGGAGAGGCCAGCAGCAATGGGGGTGCCCACAAGAAGAGGGCCAGCAGCGCTGGCCAAGGTGCCCATGGAGCAAATGGGCTTCAGGACAGAGGCCAGATTTGAGAGTCCCCTGGAGAGAAGGGACCCGAGGAGATGTGGGGTGCACTAGGGAGCCAAGAGGGGTCCCAGGACTTCACCCACCTCCACTCCAGGTCAGGGAGGGGAGGAGGAAGCAAAGGGCAGGCCACACCCTTCCCCACCCCAAGGCCCTGGGCCCCAAGCATGACCCCAGCCTTAGGGTTACACCTGAGTTCAACCTGAGTTCAACCTACCAGGTAAGCCAGCCCACTCACATTCCGTTCCAAGTCCCTGGCGTGGGGTGCCATGTCCAGGGGCCCCCAAGTCCCACGCCTTATGGTCAGCACCATCCAAGAAGCCTGCTCCGTAAGGAACACTCACCATGTTGAGGTTAGTGAGCACGTAGCGCTCAGTGTCCTCCTGGTGAGCCTGATAGACGTCGGGGCCCACGACCACCAGCAACTCCAGGTGCAGGACACTCCCGGCAGCCCATCTCCGGACGCGGGGGGAAGGAGGACGGCCTGCTGAGGGAGGAGGCAGGGCTGACAGCGAAGGTTCTAGAAAGCAGATGACCTGTGGCTTTGGCCACCTACAGCCAGGTCTTTCCTGGGCTGGGAGACACCAGGTGAGCCCTGTCCCTGCCACTTCCCACTATGGAGTTTAGGGAGTCAGGGGTCCTCAGCTTTCTCACGGGGAATGTGGTGAGCAGGGAATACCTGCCTCCCAGGTGGGTGAGCACCCCAGGAGCGGGCCTGGGCTGTGCCCACTCCCAGCCCCTACCTCTGGCCCTCCAGGAGCTGGCCTCCTGGCTCCTCAGGAGGGTTGAGGGTCCCAAGCTGTCAGAAGTCACTTTCTGCAGTGACTGTTAGAACCAGTGGTGGCTAGCCCAAAAGGCTGCTGGGTCTTGGATTCCACCCCACCCCGGGGGCCAGATCGCATTAATGACCAGGCATTCCGGGGCATCTGAAAGGGCCCAGTGGCAGTTCAGGGCCCAAGGGGGGAGCTATTGTGACGCCTTTTTGTCCTTTGGGTCTCTCCAAAGCCCTGGGCACTGGCTCTGCCTCCTTGATGCCCCTCTGGGCACCTGCTGGAGAGCAGAATAGGGTCATTCCAAGATGACAAGGAGAGCCCAAGAGAGCGCCCTGCCTGCCCCTGGATGCAGCCCGGGGGATGGACGAGCAGGCCTTGGGGACAGCAGAGCCAGCTCCAATCCTGGTCGTGCCAGTCCTGGGCGGCCACTCTCTGTCTTTGGGCCCCCGTGTTCCGTCTGTACTAGCAACTAATACTAGTAAGTGATGTCCTGCCAAGAGCGCACGTCTGTGAACGTGCTTTGTAAGCTATGAAGAGCCGTTCGTAGGCTGGACGTCTACCTGTCCCCCAGGTAGAAAACTGGACACATGGCTGATGGCCAGCCATGTGTTCCCCTGGCCCACCCACTCCCCAGCATCCTGACGAAGATGGTTCACTCACGTTTGTGGCATTTTGCATGGCCACCTGGGCGTCGGGGAGAGCTGCCCCTCCCCCAGAGCTGTCCCCAAGGGCAGCTCCACCCTCCCTCTCCCAGGGGCTGTACCTTGGATGACTTCTGGGGCCTTGGGGGCTGTGGGGGCCTTGGGTACAGGCCTGTGGATCAGGTGGGGCTGGGAACGAACCCAGGGAGGCACAAGCTCCCAGTGCTGCCTCCTCACCGGCTGGATGTAGAACCTGTCCGCACCCACCAGGATGTTGCCCTCCTAGAGAAGAGAGAGCAGCCTGGCACAGAGCCCACCGCCTCCACTGCATGCCAGGGCCTCTCTGGGATGTCACAGCACTGGGCACGGACCTGCCCAGAGCTCTCTCCAAGGGCTCCTCTCCAAGTCCAGCGTCCCCAAGCCCATCCTTGTGGGACAGCTGGGGACCTGAGCCCTTCTGGGTCCGTGCCCACTGCTACACCTGCTTCCAGCCTAGCCCCACCCCCACCCCGTCCCCGGTCCTCCCTCACATCGTGGCCTTTGAGCTCCAGGCTGTAGGGTCTAGGAGAGACACTGGTGGGATCCCTGGTGCACAGAAATGGAGGGGTCTTCAAGGGACTAGCTAGGCCCGTGCTAACGGACAGCACAGCAGTCACCAGAATGACCCGCAGTGGCATGTGTCCCGGCCGGCGCTGGGCCGCCCAATGCAGGAACCACGGAGGGGCACGTAATGACATAAGTGGCTCTGGCTTGACAGATGCATTGTGACAGATTTCCATGGACTCCTGACACCAGTCCTCATGACAAACCAAGATACCTCATCATTTCTCGGTTGAAGAGCCTGAGATCCAATCAAGTAACTGGTCCAAGGTCATCAGGACTAAGGGACAGAGCTGGAATCTGAACTCAAAGGGCTGACTGCCAAGCCCCGGTTCTTTCCATCCCGCGGCCCCCTGGATTCGCAACTGCTCTGCCACCTGCTAGCCGGGTGGCCTTGGGAAACTCAGCCAGTTTTTCTGAGCCTCCATGCAACATGCCCTCACAGGGCCTGGCATGAGGCAAAGATCTAATGTAGTGTCCTCCTGCACATCTGGCTGGGCAGAAGGGAGCTGGGGGACCTCTCGGCACCATGGGGGTCCCACCAAACACACCCTCAGCACGGCCTCTCCCCGATGCTGAGCCGGGCTCCCACTCACCAAGTGGCCCGAGCAGTAAGTGACTCTGGCCACGGCACCCAGGGGCAGCAGGGGGCGGCCTCCCGTGAAGCAGAGATGGGGCGGCCTCCTCAGGAGCCGGAGGGAGGCGTTCAGCACGTGCTCGCTGGTGAAGGAGGGGGTAAGGAGCCTCCGCTCCAGCGGGAAGGAGATGGTGAAGAGCCGGCCCCAGGCGCGCAGGGAGCAGCGTGGGGCCCTGCAGGGAGGCCCCTGGGACCCCTCTTCACAGCTGCAGCTGAGAGGGGCCACATCGAATGGAGGCACTGCAGGAGAAAGGAGGTTGTCTTGCTGAGCCCTGCTCGGCCCTCCTGGTCTTCCTGCTCGGGAGAGGGGGCCCCAATTCGTTCCCTTTGATGCATAGGGACGTGTGCTGGCCTGGAACCCCGGGGTGGGGGGGGGGGTTGGCGAGAGCCTGGGTTCAAATTCAGCCCTTCCCAGCTTGCAGGGGGGTGAACTGCAAGTTGCCTCTCCCCTCTGGGCCTCGCCCTGGGGCAGACCAGCACTCAACACACTAGCCTCACCCCACGACAGGGTTTCACAAGGGGTGGCATGAACCCCAACAGGCAGAGCAGGTCCAAGCACAGCCTCTGTGGCCTCTAGGAAAGGCAGGTGCCCAAGGCCAGCCTCGCTATCCTTCTCCACCCATCTGCCTCACCCCCAAGGAGCCCCCGGAGAGCTGCAGGGACCTGGAGTCCTGTTAGACAAGTTTCTGGTCCCCACTCCCACCCCCAGGCAGCCCCAAGCAGGGCTTGGTGTGCATCTGACCCAGGCCACAGAGAATTCAGTCGCAAGTGGGACATCCCTTCTTTCTCTCCAGCCTGACCACTAGCCCACCCTGCCTCTGGTTCCCAGCAGCCTTGAGATCAACGGCCCAACTCGGAAAGGGGGCTGGCACCCCAGAGAAGTCCACAGACGTGACCGAGAGAGACAGGAAGGCCCTGGCTGGAGCTTGAGCCAGCGCCTATCTTGTTTCTCACAGAAAGGATAAATATTTCCATCCATGACCAGAAACCACAAGAGCTCCTGCAGGTCCCCCAGCCCAAGGGAGGCCCCCGGGGCAAAAGGGACCAGCTAATTAGTAACCATTCCCTTGAGATGTTGAGCAGAAGCCTGGGGTCAGAACCCCAGCTTGGTCCAGAACACCCAGACCAGCTTTTATGGACTTGGCAGAAGTCCGGAGTTAATTAACAGGCACAATGGCAGCTTCTTGGACCTCCTCCCCCCCCCCCCCCCCCCCCCCCCCCCCCACCCCCCCCCACCCCCCGGTCAGAGCCCTGACCAGGAGGATGGGCCCCTCAGGCTCTGAGGAACTCCGCCTGCTAAGGAGACTCCACGACAAGTACCTTTTAAAGTAGCTTCAGGGCCAAAATAAGAAGTCACTTCCTCCGGCTCCAAAGCCTGAAGAAATTGCTGCAAGACAGACCGGACAAGGGAGAAGAGACAGAGGGACAAGGCAAGGGGGGGAATCGAGGTGGGGGGTAAGGGAGGAGGACACAGTACCAAGAAGCCCGTTCCTTCCTCAGCGAGCATACTCCATCCCCGAAACCCCAAGCTCAGATCCACCCCCACCAGTGCAAACCCCAAAGCTGAAAGAACACCCCCACTCTGCCCAAAGGCTGTTTGGGCAGTTGCCTCTCTCCCCGGGGCACCCTCCTTCAGCACCCAGAAGAGCTCAGATTCCCAGCCCCAGGGCTCCCCGAACACCTCCACGCCTGCAGACTCACCCACCTGCTGGAAATCAGAGAGACCCCAGCAGCCCAGGAGAAAGAAGGCAGAAGCGAGAACTGCCCCCACGCCTCTCCGCCAGGGGTGAGGCTGCCTCATCCTCAGGAAAACCAGCCTGTAGCAGAAGGAGAGAGCCTTGTGACTGGAAATCCGGCGGGTGTGGAATGCGGCAGACCCCGGTGGGCGGGAAGATGAGGCTGTGTTTACTCTTGGGAGCTTCCTCTGGGGGCAGGGGCTACGGGAGTGGGCAGCCTGCAGACTCTTGCACGAGGCGGGTCCTGGGTCCAGAGCACCGGATCCTACGCCCTGGGATGGGGCTGGGCCAAGCAGGGCAGTCAGAAAGAGGGAGCACTGGACCAGGGATCTTGCAGATGTGGCTTCAGGCATGACTCTATAACCCAATATATATATATATATATATATATATATGTCTGTATATATATATACATATATATACATATATCTATATATCTATAACTCAATAACCCAACCAAGGCTGGGTTATTCTCTCCTGACTGATGAGAGGCTGTGCATTCCAGCTCCGACAGCCCACTCTCCTCTACTGACACCCCATGATCTGTCCCGCTCTCCACTCCTCATGCCCTTTGTCAAGCTAAACTTGTCAGGAGGCAATCATTACACAAGCTCATTTATTTGGGATCGAAGAATTGCAATTCAGGGCACAGAGATTTGGGTCACGATCCAAATAATGCCCCACTAGGGAGAAAAGTCAGGAGCATTCACAGCAAAAATAGGCTGGCTGTGTACGTTGCTTACAGAGAATTTTTGATTGGTGTTGCAACAGAAAAGAAATCTTGATAATATAAATCTGGACTAAGGCTAACAGTAAGCGGTCTTTTACTGTAGGAGGGTTGCAAGTGTTCAGGCTAGGTCCCTGGAATATTTGCACTTTGGCCCAGTTCAGAAGTTCACAGTTCCACAGGTGAGGATGGGGAGGACGTGCATGCGGCCCATCTCCTTAATGGACTCCTGGCTCCATTTTAAAACCCCTTGACATAAGTGACCCTGTTTCATTTCACCTCCTCACCCAGTGCATATCCCGGGCCCCCCACTATACTCACGTCTCACAAACACTCCTCTGCCTCACTCCCTCCCCCTCAGCTACTGACTCTTGTGTGTCTGCCCCCGATGGACAGTCCCAGAACCAGGTGAGGTGGCACCACACTGCCCTCAGCATCACAGACCACCTGGCAGCCCACTCCATTTTCTGGAAGGTTCTCGGTCACACTCTCCAAAGCACTACTTCCATCTCTCTCACAACTCCAGGACGCCACGCCCAACTCAGCTGACAGCTAGCAGGGGGACTGTGCGGGTTCCCTGCCTCCGTGTCCTCTGTAACCCCAGAGGCTGTGCGGATTCCATCGGGGCCCGTCTGCTTTCCTCTCCCAGGCCTGGTCTGCGTGACTGCCGGAGGCTCTCCCTGCCCATCCCGCAGTTCCCCTTTATCTTTCCCAAGAAGGCCATCCCAGTTCATGCTGTGGGCTCCTGACTATCCCTGTGGCTGCTCCGCGGAGACGCAGAAAGACACACTGCCCCCTAATCCAAGCTCATCACCGCTGGCCTGGGCATCGGTCATGGGCTCCCACCTGGCCTCCCCACTCTCTTGCAAGCGCCCTCCCCGTCCCATTTCTCACAGAGTGGCAGTGATCCTTTAAGAACTCAAGTCAGACTGCGTCACCCCCCAGCTTTAAAGCGTTCGATGGCTCCCCCTGCCCTTAGAGTAAAATGTCCAAACCCCTTCCTGCAGCCTCCGGGGCTCTGGAATCACAGATTACACTGGTCCCGCTGTTCTCTGCCTGCATCTCCAAGCCTCTCCCCTTCGCACACAGAGCCTTAGCCACACCAGTCCACTGCCCGATCCTCAGACGCGGCAAGGGCTTTGCTGCTCTTCCCCGAGCCCCGGTTTTCCCTTCAAGTTTCTGCTCACATGTCACCTGCTCAAAGAGATCCTCCCTTATGACCCGATCTAAGTAGCCCCCAGGTAGGGTTGCCACATTCAGAAGATAAAAATCAGGACACTCAGTTAAATTTCAATTTCGGATAAATGACGAATGTCTAAGTATGCCCCCAATATTGCTACTACTGCATCGGGCATATTTATACTAAAAATTATTCTTTATCTGAAATTCCCACTTCTCTGGGCATCCCGCATGTTGTCTGGTAACCACACCCCCCGCAGGGGTCAACCTCTTCCCAGCATCTCTGTTATCACCTTCACAGCAGTTACTGGTACCCAAAATTACCTGGTTGGTTTGTGAGTTGTCTCCCTGAAAGCCCCCCACCCCCCCAACACACACACACACACAGACTCACGTGGAAGCTTTCGGGAAGCCGAGGCTCATCCGCGGGGTTAATCAAGGCACTGAGGGGCCAGGCAAAGGGGTGCTGGTGGTTTATTGCCACCGCTGTTGAGTAAACTAATACACAGCATTGTTACAATGCTTCCTCATTGCTATCGGCTGTGGCTTAAGGGCCTCTGCAGCCCCGTTGCGCGGAGGTCGTCCTTCGGTCCCCGGGCCTCAGTTTCCCCACTCGGGGAGGGAGGAGGGGCGGAGCCCGGGCCGCCCAGCCTGGGGCGTGGCCCCGGCCCGGTGCGCCGTCCGCTCCGCCCCCGGCTCCCCCCACGCCCGCCCCCGGCCCGGCCGTCCAGCGCCCCCTCGCGGCCGCCTGCGCCCCCGCGCTCGGCCGGCCCAGCCGCGGTGGTACACCGACGCCGGCCCCCCCCGTTGCCTTCCGGCGTCCTCCTTTCTCATCCCCGTCCCGGCTCTTGGAAGATCCTGGGCCTCCCCGAGCCCCACCCTCGGTCGTGGAGCCCGACGCCGCTCGCTGGGGCGGTGCATCTTCTCCCAGGCGGGCGGAGAGCCCCGCTCTGCCCCGGGTCGTGCGGAACCAGGGGCGGAGGCCCGGTTTCCAGCGGGTCGGGGAGAGAAGAGCACTTCCGGGGACGGGAGTGCACGTGCTGGGGCGCGCGCGGGGTCGCTTCCGGGGTGCGGGAGGCAGCTGTCACCGGAGTGGGGGAGTTGGGGGCTGGCCTGGGCGTGCGGTGCGAGGGCAGGGTCCGGCTCCGGGCCCGGGCGGCGGGGCTCTGGTCGCGCTCTGGTGTCGGGCCCCGGGGTCCCCGGCCGGCGGCGGCGGGATGGCCAAGGCGCTGACCCCCGGGCGCGCCCCGGGCGACCCCCCGGCTGAGCCGGAGCTTGGCAAGAAGCCACCTCGGAAGAAAAGCAGGAAGAAGAGAGTCTGGAAAAGCAAAGGGCGAGAAGCAGGCGGGACACCGGGAGGCGGCGCCAGGGTCGTCGGCGTGCGGCCTCCAAAGGCGCCAGAGGACTTCTCCCAAAACTGGAGGGCGCTGCAGGCGGTAAGAGTGGCGGGGCCCCGCGGACGGAGGACGGAGGAAAGACGTGTGGGGCCCCGGACGGCAGCTGTGCAGGCAAGCCTTTCGAGGCAGATCGGCCTGTTGAGGTAGACCGCGAGCCCTCGGGCCAGCAAGTAGCAGGATCTTGATTGGGAGGATTCCAGCAATAGCCAGGGTTTTCAAGTAATAGTCGATGGCTGCTGCCCCCAGGTGCCCAGCTCTTGAAGTGTGCGGACTCTGCCACCTCATCTCTGTTTTTATTTCACCCCCAAACCAACACCCTGCAGCGGACCCCGTTAGCATCTCTGGTTTACAGACGAATGAGGGGGCCCGGAAAGGTTAGAGAAGTGATCCAGGGTGAGCAGAGCCGGTCCGACGCCGGAGTCCCTGCCCTGAATGCCCGGTGGCGCCCTGCTGACTTTATCGGCATCTGGGCCAGTCCTTCGGGGGATGTTCCCCTCTGCCCCATGCCGTTCCCTGTAGTTCAGCCATAATTCTCTACGCGTCCCTCAGAGTTAGCTGCTGTGGTCGTCGCTGGAGGCACAGAGCTTACGGAATTGGGCCCAGCGTCACGCACCTAGTAAAAACGTGGCGGACGCGGGTGCAGAGTCACATTTCGGGCGCCAGTTTGTGTTCTTTGCTACTACTGACCTGCAGAGTCTTCCACGGTTTTCTGGAGTCTGTTCCAGAGCCTCCAGGTGAGCAAGACAGCAGAAGAGAGCTTTCTGGAGCCTCTCAGCAGCGCCGGTGTCTTAGAATGGGAGGCCCCAGCCACCTGTCCTCGAGGGACTGGACTGATGAGGTTTCCCCGGGAAACCCCAGGGTTCCGTATGATTTATTGAGTTGTGACTCTACCTCTCTCTCTTTCTTTTTCTCCCAAGAAAGTAAAGCAAGATTAAGTGAGTGGGAAGGGTGGTTATTGTGGGGGAAACCTTGTGTTTTCTCTACTTCATACAACAAAGCAAATCCTTGTGTTCTTAAACGTTGTGGGAACAAGTAAGTAGAAACGCAGGCCCTCGTGTCTCGGCTCACTGCCCCATAATCAGGGTCTTCATTGTGGCCGAGAACAGCCGTGCTGGGGACTGGAGCACCAGGGAAAGGTTGGGCTGGAGGAATGCCGAGAGCCCTTCTTGTAGGACAGCAGAAGCATGGCCACTGGCCGCTCTTGAGCCTCTTCCAGTTGACAGACACTCTCCATCTCTCTTCCTGAGATCCGCACAGCAGTAGCAAAACGAGATCTGGTGAAGGATGTGGTTTCCATGCTGCAGCTCCTTGGCCTAATCTGCAGGAGAGGTAACTCTAAATGAACTGTAAACAGGGAAACAGGTTGCTTATCGTCCCCTGAGGCTCCCAGTGAAGTAATCTCTGTTCAGTTGTTCAGTAGGTACTTAAGATGGAGAACACCGTTTGAAGTTTTAGAGGAATGAGGAAACAGGTATCAAATTGTGCAATGTAATCAGATAAGCAGAGAAGTGCATTTCACCACGAGTGACTTCAGATGGGCACGAAAAAGGGCTTTTCCCAGACCGTTTGAATGTGAATTTCGATGATGTGAGTAGCAGACATTTGTAGACGTGACTGAGTGTACGTACACATATGTACACATGCGAGTATTTTCAGCCTCTTGTGCGTGATTTCCAAATTAAAACGTGTCGCGTATTTTATTTTGGGTCCTGTTAGCTCCTGAAACAAAAAACACAGGCCCTGGAAAAGCCTCTTGTCTCTCAGACGGATTCCAAAAAGCAGCCCAAGATTATCCAACAAAAGAGAAAAGTGATCCCAGATACAGCCCAGAGAAGTGAGATGGGATCGGAGACCACGGACCTCGAGGTCGCCGGGGCCTCTGTTCCTTCAGTATCTCCAAGGAACAGGAAGGTGCCGGCCCCCCCCCACCAAGGCCAGAGGACCAGAGCACAATGAGAAAGGAGGCAAGAAAAGGACAAACGGTGACATTTCTCCAAAAGGAGGAGACGTCAAGCATAAGAAGCGGAAAGCTAAGGAGGTGACCGTGGCCTTGACTCCGGCTCTGCCCACCGAGTAAGTACAGGTGGCGTCTGCTCTCGCTGAAGCTCTGGTGGCCCGCCTGGTCCCCTCTGCTTCTCTATGCAGCCGGCGGCCCCCATCGGCTCATCTCTGAGAACAAAGTCCCAGCAACTGCGGCCTGTCTCCTCCAGGAAGCCTGGGCTGGGGGCCCCTCCCGCACCCCCTCTGCACCTTACCCCGCTGCCGTTCCTTGGCTTACTTGTTTCCCCCGGGATGGAGGCCTAATGAGGGCAGGGCCTGTTTGGTAACTGTCGTGTCTCCAGGGCCTATAGCAGAGCTTGGCCCTCAGTAGGCCTCCAGTAACGATTTGTGGGATGAATGCATGCCAAAGCCAGAAAGACCCAGGTTGGAGACCAGTTCCTGCGTCTGGCGAGTCGGGTGCTCTGGTGCGAGCTCCTGACATCTCCTGTGCCTCAGTGTGGTCATCTGTGGTGTTGGGGGGGTGTGAGATGCAGTGTGGTAGCTCAGCACCTGGTGATTACTCAGCAGACCCCGTGGGGGTCGCTTGCGCAGGGAGGACCAGGAGCCCAGGGCTGCTTCTCAGTGGCTCAGCTGGAGGTGGCATGTTTGTAAGTCAGCTGGCGGCGAGTCGCCTGGGTTGCTGAAGGTTCCAGGAAAGAGGGGTTTGAGTGCCTGCCGTGTATCCCTGAGCCAGGGACACCCTCTGAGTACGGAGCAGGCACAACAGAGCCCTCCCGCTTAAGGCTGATAGTCGAGCAGGAGAGATGGCCGGACTGAAGTTATTCCAGTAATTCTGTGAGTGTGGTCAGGATAAACTGAAGAAGGGAGAAGCTTGTGGAGTACATGGCCAGAGGAGCGTGTCCACTCAGTGGGGTCAGGAAGAGATCTCTAAAGAAATGACATTCAGCTGAGCCCGAAGGACAGACTTCACCAGGCAGGAATACACACCCTTGTGTGGACATCAGAGTTTGAGGCTTTGATCTGAAGACGCTAGAGGTCGCCCTAGCGTGGGAGGTGTGGTGGGGGGGGTGGGTCTGTGTTTCCATTTCATGGTTCTCGCGTTTGTGTTTTCTAAATGTCTGGTGATGAACCCACAACTTTCTCAGTTTAGAAGCACGTGTTAGTAGTCGTTATACTTGGCTTGTATGTTTACACCTTATGTCCTTTGTGTTTATCTGTCGTTTGTAAGTTTGGGATAAGGAGGCTGTCTTGTAAGGAAACGAGCGGTAGAGCATGTGGTCAGTCCGCAGGAGCACTGGGGCCGTGCCCCACCCCCCGCCCCGCTGTACCAGCACCTCTGCTGACCGGTGCTCGGCCTGTTCTCTCTGCCTTTTAGAGACGACATCTGGTTTGATGACGTGGACCCTGCAGATATCGAAGCGGCCGTGGGCCCCGAGGCAGCCAGAAGAGCAAGAAAGCAGCTGGGGCAGAGCGCCAGCAGCATCACGCTGGTGAAGGAGCAGGCCTTCGGCGGGTGTGCAGGGCTGGGGCCACGGGTGGCACTCAGCCCCAGAGGGCGAGGGTTTCAGGAGGGAGCTCCGTCCCTCTCCCCTAGTTGAACCCTAGTTGAATTGGGCAGGTGCCGCCCCGTCCTGCGAGGATCCTGAGCAGAGAGCTTGTCCCACAGGCGGTGGTGGTGGGCGGAGAGCTTTAGGTGCCGAGTGCTGGGTCCCCCGTGTTGATTAAACTGGAACCTTTGGCTCCCTTTAGCCTGACCAGAGCCTTAGCCATGGATTGTGAGATGGTGGGCGTGGGCCCCAAGGGGGAAGAGAGCATCGCCGCCCGAGTGTCCATCGTGAACCAGTATGGGAAGTGTGTTTATGACAAGTACGTCAAGCCCACCCAGCCGGTGACGGACTACAGGACGGCGGTCAGCGGGATACGGCCAGAGAACCTCAAGCAGGGTGGGTCCTCCCAGCTGATGAGCACAGAGGAAAAGCGATGCCTGGGTCCCTTCTCCCTTTTTCTTTTATTATTATTATTTTTTAAATTTTTTTAAGTAATCCCTACACCCAACATGGGCCTTAACTCACGACCCCAAGATCGAGTCGTTTGCTTTACCGACTGAGCCAGCCAGGAGCTCTTCTTTCTCCCTTTGGTCCCCTTTCTGTTTGGAGCATTCGGCATAGCAAGAGTCCCGACGTTCTTACCTCACCTGGGGTGACTGTTCTCAGAGGCCTCTCAGGCACGTTTGTGTCCCCACCTCTGTGTCACCCAGAGAGTGTGTGCCAGTGTGGGGTCAGCAGGGGACATGGGATAGATTGTAGGGTCTCGTCTTTGTGAGGACTTGAGGAAGCCATGGAAACATCTGAGCCGTGAGAGGCCTGGCTCAGGTTCTAGCAGGTTCCTTCTGGCTGTGGTGTTGAGAAGAGACTCTGGACCCATGAGGGTGGAAACAGGAAGAGGGGGCATGTGCTGGTGGACCTGGGTGGTTGTGACCCAGATGCATCCCGAAGGCAGAGTCTGTAGGGATTTCTGATGGATTGGCCCTGTGGGAGGAAGGCCAGAAAGGCCCCAAGGGCGACTCCA